TAGAGGACTAGTTAACAGATTTTTATTTTTAAACTATTCTATTGAAAACGTCATACATGATAGAGAATTCTTTATCACACATTCACTTGTCAGACTGCTGTACACTTGTGACTACGCTTAGAATGACAAACCTATACGAGTCAAGACAGGCACGGAGTACAAAGAAAAAGAGGAGAAAGATGTTGTTTTCTACTCTGACTGCAGTTAGCAGCCCAATTTCATATAAATTAGGGTTTTCAGGGCTCGTAACCACTTCATGTTCCAACAGTTGTCAACATAAACTGGTAAATAAAATGGTTACGTTTACAGCCATGTTCTACAAACCACCCTACTTTCAAAAACAGCTAGAAAAATATATTGCATCTCTTTTTGAACTTCAAATATACAAATCAAATGCCACTCATCTCTCCTGTTTCTGTTGCGCTACGCTGGGCTTTTGTGAACAGTTAGTTTCTGAATACTAGCAGTTTGCTTGGGTCAATACTAGCAATTTGCATGAACCCTACAACATGGTTATAAAATGAAATGTCAGGTTGTTTTCAAAATGTAATAAATGAATCAAAATCTAGGTGTGCAAACAGAATATCCACCTGGAAATGCTTGCGAAAAGTCAGGATATCTTGTATAGGTAATCTGTTCTTTACAGAAAATACTGTTATCAGATATAGCATGTTTCAGTCCAGTGGCTTTCCATAGATTCTCTATTTTATTCAGACTGCAAAAATTGCAAACAATCACAACAGTTTAGCCAGTTCAGGAGGGTGGAAGAATACCTCCGAGTACCCCATTCTAGATGCAAATGGATCTCTGTCTCTGAGACCAGCTGTTGTTTTACTTCTAATATACAGTCATCAATGCACCAGCAATGCTTAATTTCAAAAGAGAAGCACCCATGTGCTATGCTTGGGATACCGTCTCTGGCAATTCCCCACTTATACCTACTTTAGTTACAAATCTTTCTAGTCCATCTCTGCCATAGGTTGGTCAGGGTGGAGCTTGGTATGCAAAGTTACTTTGAGGAGTGGAGCCCTAACCTAAAGAAACACAGACTACAGCAGCCTACTACCAAATCAGAATAGATTCATAACTTAAAAAGAAAAAAATGTTTGGGGGGGGGCAGGGGGAGAAGGGGGAGAGAGAGCACTAAAGGTGGCTGGCTGGGATTCTCCATGAGCTGTCTAGGAACAACCTGCCCAGCCACCCAATCAGCTGAGCAAGGGACAGTTACGGAGAGGGGCTGAGCAGCTTGGAGGAGAAAGGCAGAGCTTTCTCCCATATCTGCATGGTACTTCCTAGCACAACTGCAGATTCCTCTTACACCACTAAAACTCTGCTCCCTTGAATTACTTTCCATCTGCATGGATCAAATCCCCCTATAGATCCTCTCAATGTTCCCGCAGTCCTCATCCACAAAGCTGTAGGGTCCACTCTATGATGTACCAAAACACAAGTTATTGGGCTCAGAACAAGGGTAACTTGGTGAAAGCAAATAGGCTTTGATATACAAAAAGTCAATGTTCACTGTTGGGTTGGGGGCGGGGCATTGAGCATGCCTATAATGGAGCAGCCCCCCCTTCATGGAGTGCTGTCTGCAGGAAGGGGTGGGGGTGGGAAGAGGTCAGGGGGAATGAGCTGCAGGCTGTGGTTTGTCCCGTCTGAGCTAGAGAGAGGTTCTGGAGGGGCCATGAGGCAGGGGGGCTCCAATCAACCTGCCCCTCTCAGGCTGGGCAAACCCCAGCCTGCAGTTTGCTCTCCCTCCTCTCTCCCCCTCCCTCCCTTCCTGCAGACAGCCCTGGGGGTGGGGCATGGCTGCATCAGCCCAGCCCTGATCATCAAGCAAAGATTAAGTCTAGGGAACACAAGTCCCCTAAGTCCCCTCACTTGATAAGGTTTAAGTTGTTGTGTGATCAGCCACTTTAAAAGCGCTCTGCAGCCATGCACCTGTGTCACAGCACAGCTATAGTGCACTTTCGGGGAGGTCGTTGATGTGACAAATGCTACTTCTGTCTGTGCCCTAGATGATAGTCCATGAATCGTGAGCAAAACTGTGGCAACCTACATACCCGACTTACCTTGTAGGGCTCCAACCTGCCAGCAAACTTCAGAAAAGCTAATGTTGAGGG